CCTAAATAAATTCTGCAAGGTTAATTATAATTTTTCTGTAGATATCTAATTTCAGGTATTCAAAGATTTTTTTTTAATTTTGGTTGACTAAAACTCCTGCTTGTTCAAAGACTTACAGAGATCTGTCAAATGGCAATGAATATGCATTGCCCGTTTAATTTCCTTATACAGAATGATTAAGTCTGTAATCAATTAATCCAATTAAGGACATGACTATATGGAGTTCTTTCTGACGTTGTTCCTTTGAGAATCATAGGGTGAAAAAAAAAACTTGCAATTGGAAAAGGGGCACATTTAAGGAGCTTCCCTTTCATGGAATGCTGTGTGTAATAAACCCAAGTCTTTTTCTTAATATAATTTTTACTCCCAGCTTTTGAGGAAAGCAGATGGGAGGGTTATTGTACTTTAGCCTTGCAAAATATTTGAGAATTCTTTCTGGAAAATACATGAGGTACAACATGTTCCAATTAATGTCTCAAAGTGAACGATAGTTCATCACACCTGCTTTTAAATCAACAAGAAGTTGATTTAACACATAACACCTTGGTGTGTTTCTTGACATTTGGTTTCCAATTGCACAATGTTTCGGTATTCTGGTGGAAGTGTTCTATTTCAGCCTGTGTTGACATGCTTCAATCATGTCTCTGTGTGAGGGTACACTGTCTTCCCAACCAGATCTTTATATGTACTTCTAGCATGCCAAGCTATCTCCTCCACTTTGCTGTAGGAGCTTTGCCTTCATTTCACTGTATCTAAATCCTGTTAATCAATCAATTAGATGCCATCATGTTGATTCTGGCTTATGGCAACTCTGTCCAGGGTTTTCTATATACAGAGTATTCAGAAATGGCTTGTCATTCTCTTTTTTGATGAGTGGGGTGCTCAGAGACTGTCCATCCTTGCCTAAGATCCCACAGGCTGGCTCTCCTTCAAGGGACAACAGGGAACTGAAATCCTGACCTTGGCTCAGCAGATAAGTTTTCCATCTCAGTGAGCTATCCAGTCAGCTACTTCATTCTTAATCTGAGTATATTCCCAGTGTGAGTGCGTTCTCTCTCCTTGGGATTGACTGTGTTGCTGTGATAACATGCTGGTAAAGTGACGCTTAATCTGAGTATATTCCCAGTGTGAGTGTGTTCTCTCTCCTTGGGATTGACTCTCTGTGTTGCTATGATAGCATGCTGGTAAAGTGACACATAAGCCATAATCAACCTTGGGCAAATTACCAGGTTCTGGCCTCTGGATACATTTGATTCACTGCTTGCTTTCCCTGATATTATGAAGACATGACCACATGAGGGGAAGAGAGCATGATATTATTGTGAATGAGCACAATGCCCTCAACCCTTCTCAGCCAGCACTGGTACAGAGGAAGCAAATGTGTAACATGGCACATGACATGCACAGTGGCAGGGAGGCTCTGGTGCCATGGGCATGGCCTTGCCTGCTTAATCCCTTACCATGCCCACATGGGAGTGGTACACATCCCAACAATGTGCAGTAACTTTTAAGACCAAATAAGGAGTGAGGCGTGGAAGAGGAAGACTATTAGGAGTGCGGATTAAGTTGCAGTAGGAACCTCAAGGGAAAGAAATTAACATACATTGGGAAGCAGAGTTATCATGATCAGTGTCTCTTTTCGCTCTTTGCTTCCAGATTCCATTTGGAGAGATTATGGAGACTTGCATTTAAAATCAGAGTACCTTTCAGATATGCCCTGTTGATACATGGGCTTTTTCATCCATTTGATAACTTTTTAGCAGAGGTTAGAAAGTCCTCCTCCGCTTTTATTTTTTTAAAGGCCTTCTCCTTTCCTTTCACTAATACAAATTCAATAAATCTACCTCAAATAGCATAAAACTATGTGAACTTATTTCTCGTCTTTTCATCTTCAGTTCAGTAGTCAATTTATCATTTAATGCAATGTCCCATACCTCATTATACCAATCTTCTAATTTAACATCATTTTTATCTTTCCAGAAACTAGCTATTAATATTCTAGCACTTGTCATAAGATTGGAAATAAATTCCTTTGAGCAATAATCAAGTTCTATCTTATAAAAAAGTGACAACAAAGGAATTTTAGAATTGACTTTGATATCTTTTCCAAATATATCACATCTTTCCTTAAAAAATAGTTTCCAAAAATTCTGAATCCATTTACACTCCCACCACATATGATAATACATGCCAATTTCTTCATCACATTTCCAACAGGCCTTACAATAGTCTGAATTTATTATATTCAATTTCACTGGAGTCATATACCACCTTAAACTAATTTTTTTAAATTTCCTTTATTCTTACTGACATTAATCTTAAAACTCTCATCTTCCAAATTTTTGTCCAATCCTGTTTTAATTTCTGTCCTTAAATCATGTTCCCAAATTGATTTCAAACCTACTATTTCTGTCTCTTTTTCCTCTTGTTCCAAAATTAGGTTATAAATTCTACTTACTACACCCTTCCTCAAAGCATCTTTTTGCATGTCTTCATGTGATGACAGGAATTATTTGTACTTAGTACATTCTCTACATTTACCATTTAGTTTTGAACCATTTCTTTGTCCAACTATCTAATTGGATATAATTATACGAGGGTATGTCGACTTACCAACTTAATCCATATTGGAACGGCGTTCATAAGTCGAAATGTTCGTAAGTCGAAGCACCATTTCCCATTGAAATGCATGGGAATGGGATTAATCTGTTCCAGCATTTCAAAACAACAACAACAACTACTACTACTACTACAACAACAACAGAGCAAGTCCCACGCTGGGACTGCAAAAATAATAATAATCCAAAAACAAAACAACACAGCACAGAAACATAACCCCCCAGTCCACACCCACCCTCCAAACCCCACCCAGAACAGTTTTTTAAAAAGGAAAAAGGAGCACCTTACCTGTCCAAAGCCTCCTCAGCCTCCCGGCACTCCGCTGCCTCTGCCGCTGCCAGGGGCGAGTGGCCAAGTGCCTGGCAAACTCAAGCCTCCCGGTGCTGGGTGACCACTGGCTCTGATTGCAGTGATGGGGGATCTCTAGGAGGTCTCCCAGGACTTCCCCGCCACCATCGGAGACCTCCTGGGGGTCCCCTGCCACCGTGATTGGAGCCTTCAGGCTTTCCTGGGGGTAGACCAGGCCTACCAGGGGAAGCCCTCAGATTCAAACATCAGATTCCAATAATTTAGTTTTAAAATTCTCATTTATATAATTTTCTATGTTTTCTTTCAGTACATTGTTTCCTTTATATATTTCTGATAAAATTCTTGAAAAATTTTCAATTTATCTTTCATTATATTACCTGATCTATCTTTAATTACCTCAATTGTGTTTTAAATCTTGTTTTTACACATTGTAGCTAATAATTTTTAATTTTTATTACTAAATTTAAAAAATCTTTATATACATCAAATCCCTCTGGCCTTTCTCTATCTCTAGGTTTTCTAGTTCCTTTCTCTTTACCTGAATTTCTGCCAATATCCCTCCCCCACTTTTAAAGCAATTAATTATTGCTGTAGTGCCAAAGCCCCCAGAAGTCATTAGAGCTATATTTTAAAAGTAATTCTGCTTCCCAAAGAAAAACAACAACTAAAAGAGTTACTTTTGAAAACACACAAACATCTAAATGCTGGAAACTGCTGGCTTCTGGTAGAAACACTGTCCTCTTTTCCACCTCATTATCACTGTGACATCCACATCACAGAAGTGTTGCTTGAATCATATGACATTGTTTCTCTTCCTCTTAGTGAGGCTACACTTCTGTATTAATAAAAGTAGTTTAAAATGTACTGTTAAAGTTCAAAAGGATGTGAAGTTATCTCTCATGAAGCTGTAATTGTAATGTAACAGTTATATAAATTTCTAAATATATAAATGTCTAGTTATATAAATGTCTAATGGCTCTAAATGTCTCTTTTATGGAACGAGTGTGACTTGGAGTCCTATAGATGAGGAAAGATCCATATTATAAGATAACATTTGTTGATTGTTGAGTTGACTACTCTGAACATTCTGCAGACTGTAGAACATCTGCAGGCCAATAAGCCTCTTTTAATTTGCCCCAGTTTCTAAAATGGTGCTCATGTTTTTCTATTGAAAAACTCATTAAAGCAACTAATTCAATGGCTCCACTCTACTTGGAACTAGCATTAGTTTTACACCTCAGTCTTCAAAGTTCCACAAGACCTTTTATTGTTTTTTTGTAGTTTGGTGGTTTCCCTTTAATCAGTTTAGCTCTGATACTTGGGCAGGTGGAGAGAATGCTTGTGCTGAAATTATCCCACACAGGATAATTAGGGACAGGAGAAATTCTGTGATGTGAAAATGTTATGGATACCCAAGCGAAATTTTGGTTACAGAATTTCTAATGGTCAAAATACATTTGATGGAAAGGAAAGGGGAACTTCTTAAGTCAAAATCAGCTTGTTTTGATTGATCATTAGGAGGTAGGCACAGGTTTTGTTTAGATGTTTGATTGGTCAGTCATGAAGGTCAGCTAGATTTATGTCTCTGGAACACTAACTAGCTTCACCTTCGCTAATGGTGTGCTACGTGTAACTTACAGTTCAATCTTGAACTAAAAATGTGCCTAGAAGCTTGTAGATGCACAAAGCTGACTTGTTGAACACAGTGGTTGACACTTATCAGTCAAACTATGATCAGCTCATTAGACACAGATGGGTGGGGATTAATGTATGTATATTAAAAATTTCCCAGCATATTCATTGTTTCATCAGGTGAAGTGTGCTGCAATTTATGAGTTTATGCTAAATAAAACTTCTTAGTCTTCCATGTGCCATAGGACTCTTGGTTATTTTTAAAAAGGTCTTCACTAGATACTTGCTTTGACTTCTGTCACAAATAGGAACTGGAAACAGGAGTGACACTTGACTTTTTACATATCTAATTGCACAGTTTCTAATGTTTCTTGTTTTACAAAGTTGTCTATATATTCTCAAAGTCATAAGAGTCAATTTTGTTCTTACTGTTTCAACAGGTGGTTTACTAGTCCAACTACTGTTAATGCTTTTTACAGTGCATCTACAAATCAAATCAGTGAGTATTACCTTTTTGAAAATTATATTTTAATTATTCACATGAGGTAAAAATACATTCTTCATCCTCTGGAAGCAGCATCCGTTCCTGGAACATCAAAGTAACATTTCACATAGGATCCTCCAGTGGGTAAATGAGCTCTGGGCCAGGAAGAAAAATAATACCAGCTGATGCTATTCTGATTCTAAGAATAGCCAAATACATTGTCAGCATAGCTCAAGAGCTGCTTCAGTGCAGCATTCAGGTCCCCTGCCATGTTGGTAATATTGCTTGTAGGATCCATGTGGGATAGGCAGATGACATGGTTACTTCCAATATATGACACAGTTAGTTTCATAGTTTTTGTTTTTTTGGGCATTCCTTTGGGGAGTAACGTGGAATCTGCTCATCCCATGTGATTTCTGCAGCAAAGTCACTATTTCAGCTGTATATTTTCTCAGATTTTGGGTACCTACATTTTATTTGAGGGATTTGGAATGTGGTTATTCCCCTTTTAGTGCAGAGAAATAGCGTGGAGAGATTTGCCTCATCTCACGCCTTTCCTTGAAAAAAAGAAAAATGAACAGTTCTTGGTTAAATGAAACAAAAATCTTTTATTTACAGTTACAGTGGTGCCCCGCAAGACGATGTTAATCCGTTCCATTGAAATCGCTGTTTAGTGAAAACATTGTCTTGCGAAAAGCGTTTCCCCACTGGAATGCATTGAAATCCGTTTAATGCGTTCCAATGGGCAAAATAGTCATCGTTTTGCGAAAATTGTCCATACGGAAGCCATTTTGCTAAGTGCTAATCAGCTGTTTAAATCGCTGTCTTGTGAAGCATCGGTCCTGAAAACACCCGTTTTACGAAGATCGCCCATAGGGAAGCCATTTTGTGAAGCCACCAATCAGCTGTTAAAATTGTCATCTTGGGAAGCATCAGTCCCAGAAAAAAAAAACCATCTTGCAAAGCACGGTCCGAAACATCGTCCAGCGGAAATCGCCCATAGGAAACACTGTTTTGCGAAGCGCAATGGCGATTGCAAAACCTTGTTGTCGTGCGGATTCATCGTTTTGCGGGGTTATCGTCTTGCGAGGTACCACTGTATATCTAATAGCTAGCTAGGACAGAGTAGTAATAGCAGTAAATGGATTTTGATCACTGCTCAATATCTTATTCCGTGCTTCTTGTTGTTTTCCTTTTTTGTTGTTTCATTGGTTCATTGTCTCAATTCTCCATTTTTCTTAACTTCTTGAAAACTGCTGAAGACTGATTTTGATGTTTTATTTAGCTAACTAAATAACCTGGAAAACAAAATATCTGATTCTGCTAAGTTCAACAAAAATTCTTATACGTAGACTGACAGAATGAAATGTGCTCCATTCTATTACTCATTGCAACAGCACAAGTACTTTGTTATGTGTAGTCACTTTTTATCTCATACCACCTTGTGCTGTGCTATCCTGCTATTAAACAAAACTGGATCTAAAAGAAAGGCCAGGGTATCTGATGTTGGATTTCACACTCGGCTGTGTTTAACAGTATCAAGAAGTGGAGAGCTATCATACCTAACTAATCACTCATGGGCGTGCCAGCAGTTGGGCTCTTTATCTCTCCTGCTGACCTTTCTGTATCATTACCATTTGACCTTGGGATCTTGCTGTCTTTTTAAAAAGCTGTTTTTGGGAATCAGCCCATTCATATGGCATAAGCTGGTCTTGTTAAGTACTGGCCTGCTGCTCTATCTAGGCAACTGGCATGTTAGAGATACATGTTTCTGTCTATTGGTTTATCCTACAATAAATAAGTTTATCATCTCTTAAATCAGGAAGGAGCAGACTTCAGGCTTTGGGATGAGACTGCAAATTCTCCCAACGACAGCCAGAAACAAAATAGGGGTTCAGGACAGTCGCTATATATTCAGAAGGAGGAATTAGGGTAGGTCTGAGCGCTAGCTCACCATGGGATTTGTTAATTTTTTTATGAGGCAAAAAGAATATAAAAACATTGTGGCACTTTAAAGACTAAATGCTATATTTCTTCTGGGAGTGGTGTTGTCCATGAAAGCTCTCATTAAAATATAGCAGTTAGTCTTGAAGGTGCCACAATTTTTTTCTTTATTTCTTTATTTTTTTTTCTTTTTGCCTGATATGCTAGCACAGACTAACATGGCTATTTCTTCTAAAACTACTGCTATTTTTTTTTTAAATAGATGTGTACTCACAGTCATTTTACACAAATCAATTCTTCGTTTCCTGTCTCACATGTTAGTCATTCTTGCAGCTTAATTTAAAATGGAGAAAGGGATTTTTTTTTTTTTTAGTGTTGAAATTGCTGAACAATTGGTAGTCATAAATGTTTGCAGTTTAATACACTTGAGAACTGCTGGTAAAACCTAATTGAAGCACGTCCTGTCATAGAAACACACTATGCTGCTGTGTATACAGTGTGAATTTTGGCACCGTGTCTCATCTCAGCCCAGAAGGATCCCAAGCTGATGCCCTGGCATCAGGCAAGCATTGTTTTGGGATGGTAAAATGACAGTTCTATGCCTGATGGCGCAAATATCTTGGAGGAAGCATTAAATATGAATATGAGAATTAGTAAGTAAAATCAGTGCCACCATATGATAATAATAATAATAATAAAATCTCTTCCTGGTTCTAGATGGGATGATGTTGCTACTATAGACAATAAAGAGAGACTTGGCTGGATAGTTCAGTGTTGTTATTGTTTAGTCATTTAGTCGTGTCCGACTCTTCGTGACCCCATGGACCAGAGCACACCAGGCCCTCCTGTCTTCCGCTGCCTCCTGGAGTTGCGTCAAATTCATGTTGGTAGTTTTGGATAGTTCAGTGAGTTGGGTACAAAGCCAAAAGTTGGGAGTTTGATTCCACAGTGTGTGTACTAGAAGAAGAGCCAGCCTGTGTTGCTTTGGGCAAGCTGCAGAGTCCCTCAGCATCCCCAGAAGAAGGAAATAACAAGCTACATTTGAATATTCTGTATCTAGAAAATTCTGGAAAGGGCTGCCATAAGTCAGAATTGATCTAATGACATGTAATTACTATTGATTTTTCAGAAAACCTCAATATATCTCATTTTTATTTTGAGCCTAACTAGGCATTTTTGTCTTCCTTCCTGTTCATTGTCTTGGATCCAAAAAGGACACACACACACCAGGGAAGGGCAGGGGGGGGGGAAGCAGAAATATGAGTGACTCTGTCACATAAGGCATGAAGTCAACTTATAAACGTGACCCAGGATCGGGGAATTTAGTTTTGGAACTACAGTCCTCAGAACCACCTGCCGACTATGGGCACTGGATATACAGATACGGGGTTTTGAATATGGTAGTCCAAAGCTTGGTCTTTTCAAGTGCTGAACATAATCCACAGTGAGATCGGAGTGGTCCAATAATTCATTACGCTCACAGATTTCAGCCACAGGCAAAATATAGAACCACCACTCTACCTGTTGGATGCCAAACTAGCCCAGTGGTTTTAGCCTGACACCTTGCAGGGCAAGTATGAAGTACCTTTGGCTCTCTGGATATACCCAAATAAATGCTGAAAGACTCAGGCTGCATTTCTACCAGAAAGAAAATGAGAATTTTTCACTCAGTTGCTAGACTTTGGTACAGGAGGTATTTTTCCTGGGTATCTATGAAGAGTCTGGATAATCAAGAGCTTATTGATGAAGATAGCCCACAGTTTCCTGACGGTCAATGGGCAGAGTCATTCTGGAATTTACATTAAATAGATCCAAGCTATTCCCATTTTTAAATTACCAATCCTTCTTCCCTTTTGTATATTATTCATCATGTTGCGTCTAAATGTATTTTGTGCAAAACTATGGTACCTTTCCTCTTGGACTTTTCCAACTAATTTCATGGTTGGTTTTTGTAGGTTTTTCGGCCTGTTTGGCTGTGTTCTGGAGGTTTTCCTTCCTAATGTTTCACCAGTCTCTGTGGCTGGCATCTTCAGAGGACAGGAGTTAGAACTGTGTTCTGGTATAGTGTGTGGGATAGTTGAGTATTTGTAGCTGTGGGATCAGCTTTTTGTCCTTTTCAGGAGTTTGGGTGTTATCGTGATCAGGGTGTTTTTTGTTATTGTGATAAGGGGGGGGAGATGATCTGTCACTGTGATTGATGGGTGTTGTTAGCTGTAGATGTAGATTATTTTTCATTACTGTATTGTACGGTCATCTTCAAAATCACAATTTCATTTACATTTCTTCTCTTCTTGCAACAAGGCTTATTGCTAACTTTCCTGGGATCTTTTGTGCTCCCTTGTAATTTTTTTTCCTGTACGTGTTAACTCAGAAGTAAGCCCACTATGTTCAATGGAATTTAATTCAGTTTCACAGCACAATCCTCTGTGTGTTTACTCGGAAACAAATGTCATGAGAGACAGTGGTGCTTAGTCTTAGGTAAATATACTTGGGCTTTTACTTGCAGCCTCACAATTCTTTATACATTGAATGTAATGCACAACCACTTTTGTAGTTGTAGAATTACTGGGTCTTAGGTTTCAGGGATTTGCAGTGGAGAAATTAGAAAGTCTGGCTTTTGTTTCTGATGTAGCTTTAATATCTTGACATCCCATTCCATCCATTGCCAGCTTATATCAAACTCACTGTCCTGGTGTAAAGGTGTTTTCATAAGTGTTTTGCTTACCTTCTGTTAGCATACCAGGAAGCTAGGCAGAAGGAGAGAGGACTAGAAAGAGGCTGATGGAGGTATGCTCAAAGGACTATTGTCCAGTTTGGACTAAGGCAGAGAGTGAGGTTCCAGCACCATGACTCGTGACTTGTGAGCCTTCTTGTTACAGACAATGAGGCAGTAGTGGTGCAAAGGCAGGAATGAACGTCCCCCTGGGCAAATGGTGAGTGTTTCAGGAGAGCCATCAACAGCAGCAGTGGATCTAGAAAACTCCCACATGTTGTCTGCCAGCTAATCCTTGTAGGATGCAAGCACAATGATAGCAATCACTACACCTGCTAGGCGAATGCTAAAAAACTGC